TTATCAGAGGGCTTTTTACAAACTTCCTCACAGCAAATGAGGAACATGGCAAATACTACAAATTCTGTTAAAATAGTACAATTTCAAAAGACCAAATTTTCACTCAAATTGTTACGCTCAAATAATTTGTAATGAAAAATAAACTATATTAGAATAAAAAATGCAGATTAAACTTATTTTCACTGGCGCTCTCAGAGTTTTGGACACTGGCATATATTTGGATTATGGCTGTATTAATTTTCAAATCTGAGTTTGTCCTCTATTCAAACACGTTTACCTGTCCAATCTGCACTCGTCTGTAAGTCCGTCTCTCACTGAGAGCTGCGGTGGGCTGGACGTGTGGAAAACCGAAATATCAGAACCAGCAAAGAAAAGCTGACTACTGTTCATAATTCAACATCCTGAGAAAAGACTAGATATTTATGATATTTATCTTTATGTAATTCAGACAATTAACATTGAGTTTGTTGTGATAGTGATACATTCAGTTTAATAATCTTGAGAAGGCAAAATATACATAATTTGAATGATCAGATATGTACATATTTGATAATATATTGGTTTTATTGGGTTTTATTGACCCAGTCAGTCGGTCAGTCAATCAGTCAGTCAGTCACTCAGTTGGTCACTCAGTCTGTCAGTCACTCAGTCAGTCAGTTACTGTCACTCAGTGAGTGAGTCAGTCACTTCATCAGTCAGTCTGTCAGTCACTCAGTCAGTCTCAGTCAGTCAGTCAGTCACTCAGTCAGTCTCAGTCAGTCAGTCAGTCACTCAGTCAGTCTCAGTCAGTCTGTCAGTCACTCAGTCAGTCTGTCAGTCACTCAGTCAGTCAGTCTGTCAGTCACTCAGTCAGTCTCAGTCAGTCAGTCAGTCTGTCGGTCACTCAGTCAGTCTCAGTCAGTCAGTCAGTCAGTCACTCAGTCTCAGTCAGTCAGTCACTCAGTCTCAGTCAGTCAGTCACTCAGTCGCTCAGTCAGTCAGTCAGTCACTCAGTCTCAGTCAGTCACTCAGTCAGTCTGTCAGTCACTCAGTGTCAGTCAGTCAGTCTGTCGGTCACTCAGTCTCAGTCAGTCAGTCAGTCAGTCAGTGAGGAGGTGAAGTCGTTGGCTGTTAAACCGGTTTATTTTTATCGGTGTGAACATCTTTCTCAGTTTATTTGTGAGTTCAGTGTTTATATATCCATCGTTCGGCGCTGAGCTGTGTGTCAGACCTGCAGTGTGTGTGGGGGGGCTGTGCCGGGGGGCGTCGTGCTCCTTATTATGGGGGTCATGTGTGCTGAGTGTCAGTGTGCTGCTGGAATTCATGTCCTGTCACGCTCTGTCAGATCTGCCTTCACTCTGCAACACCACACACACACACACACACACACACTCACACACACACACACACACACACTCACACACACACACACACACACACACACACACACACACACACTATATCACTTTCATACTCTCTAACTCGCACAAACTCTTCCCTGTGTGTGTGTGTGCTCACTTCACTTCTCTGCGTGTCTGTAATTAGTGATTAGAGGGGTGTGTGTGTGTATATGTGTGTGTGTTTCTGGAAGGCTGGACTATAATTTTGTTGTTCCGCTTCACAGCCGCTCAGGAATGACCAGGAACACTGCCAGCACTCAACATGTGTGGGTGTGTGTGTGTGTGTGGTGTAGATGGTGTGTGTGTGTGTGTGTGTGTAGATGGTGTGTGTGTGTGTGTGTGTGTGTGTGTGTGTGTGTGTGTGGCTCTTGGTTCATCAATGAACAATATGAAGCTTCCTCTAATACTAGTGGAGTTTAAATAAAGTTATTTAGAGTTCTGCGTCCAGAAACTTTCGCTCCTGCGAGACTCCGGGCGGCTGTGGAGGAGTTGAGGGAGGAGAGCAGCTGGAGGAGCGAGGAGAACAGGGAGTAGTTGAGGAAACGCGACAGCTGATCCACATTTGAACTTGATTATTGATGAACTAAGCCAATCATAACACTGACTTGGACGTACGCCTGTAATACTCCTCATAGCCAAATACAATAAACAAAAACACTGAGGATATATAAACAGAAACAAAACACAGGGAACATGTAAACAGAAACAAAACACTGAGAGTATATAAAGCAAAACCAAACACTGAGAATATATAAAGCAAAACCAAACACTGAGAATATATAAAGCAAAACCAAACACTGAGAATATATAAAGCAAAATCAAACACTGAGAATATATAAAGAGAAATAAGCAGAAATGTCTGGTGTTTGTACTTGTATGGCTTTCCCAGGATCGGTGGGAAGCTGCGGTACCTGTTAGGGCTTCTTAACGCAGCCAGGGTGTTTTTTTTATCTTGGAGATGATGTCATAACTGTGATGACATCACTCTCAGCAGATGGTCACCTCTGAAACAGCTGCCCTGTGTATGCGGTTATTCTGAACGCTGATTGGTTAATGGACTTGGTTAAGTTATTGATTGTAGTAATTAACATTATTAATGAATTAACTCTGTTGTCCTTCAGAGGTGGTGATGAACACGAAGATGGAGACATCTGACCTCAGATGGACAATCCACCCCAGCGCTGATCCTGAGGTAACACACTCCTCCAAGTGGCAACGTCGAAAAGAGTCAGGCTAATTTAAACAGCTGTGCACAGCATGCTCACTAACGACGTGCGGCTCGGAGTGATCGCAGCAGATAAAGAGACGTCGTAGAGTTAAACCATCGTAAATGTGACGTAACCCTAATCCTAACCTCTAGATACCGAATGCCACGGTATCAAAACGTCATTTTCAACTTTTGCGTGTTTGATCTTCAAACGAAAAAAAAACCTCTGTGGAACCAGTATTGTTAGCAACAAGCTAGCTCACTAATGTGATATCAGTGAAAACTAACATTCTTGAAAAAAACGACAAACTTTACGGTCAGATGAAAATCGTAAATTTGGAGTTCAGTGCTTTGTAATGCCTTGAAGTCACATTGGAAATATCATATACGTGACTGCCACCACAGTGTTCTATTTACCATGTTTACGTTTATGCCGTTTGGCGGGCGATCTTACCCACAGTGACTTACAGTTCATACCCAGGTAGGTGAAGGTAGTGTTAGGAGTCTTGCCCAAGGACTGTCATTGGTATAGCGAAGGATGCTTGTCCTGCCAGGTGATCAAACTAAACTCCATTTGCCAGGAGGAAACTTGGATTCTACGATTTCCACAGTTTGACCAGAGATTTCCAATCGTCTCTTTGTTGCCATAACGCAAAATAAACAGACTCTCTTTAATGACAGAAAAACAAAAGTAAACTATAAACATTATTTCCGACGCTTCCATCTTGTTTCCGACCGAAACCACTTGAACACAAATGAAGTCGTTCGTAACCACCAAAGTCGTGAGTAGGAACGTCTGCGGAGGACTTCGCTAAGCTCAACGTTAAAGCTAGTCTGTGTGCAGCTCGTTCTGGTTTAGTAAACACTTACGTTACAACTAGCCTACGTCTGAACTTACGTGCAGCTGGATCAAGCAGCCCCTGAGGTTCACTGCATAGATGCCTCTCGGCGGCCTCAGCTACGGCGGCTGTGACGTTAGCTGAAGAATGTTCAGATGAGGAGTGGATGGTTGAGTGATGCTCTCTCTTTCTCTCTCAGTGGGAGGAGATGAGCGGTCTGGATGAAGAAGGGAACAGCGTGAGGACGTTTCAGGTGTGTCCGACGGACGGCAGCGTGAGTCACTGGCTGCGCACTCGTTTAATCCCGCGGCGCTCGGCGTCCATCGTGTACGTGGAGATCCGCTTCACGGTGATGGAGTGCAGCTCCATGCCCTCCAACACGCGCACCTGCAAAGAAACCTTCAACCTGTACTACTACCAGAGCGACGAGGACACGGCCACCAGCACCCACCCCGCCTGGATGGAGAACCCCTACACTAAGGTACACACGCACACCTGTTTTTATACCTTATCAGGACATGGGGGCATCCATATGTACCTGTAGTAGTAATAACAGTGTAATAACATGTCCTAAATAAGGTTTTCAAAACGACGATGTTTCAGTTATTAAACTGTGCTGGTCTGGTTGCTCCATCTGACTGACTGGTTGCGCCGCCTGACTTTTCAGACTAATTTCAAATTAAACAGGCGTCTACTTAGACACCCGTAGAAACCTTTGACCTTCAATTTGAGTTTATACTTACATTTTATTTAAATTAATAAACATTATTATAATAATTCCACATGTTCATGGTTCTTCTGAGGTCAGAGGTCACACCACCTATGACCATGACTCAAACATCAAACTTTTACTAAATCTGTGGCCTCTGCTTTGCACCATGAAGGTCACTTGGGGTCTTCTTTATGATGCAATACCCTGGAACCTGTTTCGTCAAAGCGTGTAAAAATAAAAGTCCTTTGTTTGTGGTTGTGCTGCCTGACATTTGAGGAAGTAAGACCTTGCAGAGTTTTTCGGTTTTGAGTTGACTTATTTTGCAACATGATTTTTGAACATAACATAAAAATAAACATGAAACTATTTCATTTTGATTTTTATATAACTGAGTTACCTTTTTGATAGTTTATTAATCAGCACATATGGTTGGAAGGTTGTACCACCTGACATTTTTAGACTTTTGGAGGCAAAAATTAAAAACTGAAATTAATTTTATTTGGATGCGCAAAAAAAAAGTTTCACATAAAAGAGGAATTGTTGAATAATTTGACACGTCATTTATTTGTCAAATAATTTTTTGGGGAAAATAATAAATTTGGACACAAAAAAAGCATGTTGTGTCAATAACCCACCTATATATAATAATACTGAGGACCATGTGTTTTACATATATGTAAGTATCTATATGTAATGACGTGTGTGTGTGTGTGTGTGTGTGTGCTGCAGGTGGACACAGTGGCGGCCGACTTCCTGCTGCGGCGTGGTGGCGAGAGGAAGTCTAATGTAAAGACCCTGCGGGTGGGTCCTCTCTCTAAGAAGGGCTTCTACCTGGCCTTCCAGGCTCAGGGGGTGTGTATGGC